CAAACTTCATAAGTTTCCTTTTCAGCATCAGTCGCTGTAGCAGGTATAGTGGCGGGAAGTCTCTCGTTCAAAACATAGAGACGCCCCTAAACAGTTAGCACAAGCTTAAGACTACGCAACCAATCTAGGTAATTAGGGCCATTGAGTTTATTGTCGAGGATTGACATTATGGGATTCTTAGACATAATTATCTGAGACATATAGAGAAGAGGATTATTAGAGATTCGCGTTAAATGATTGTTACAATTAAATGTTTGGACTTATGTTATTTAATTGTTCTCCCACTAATTTTATCGAGTTCCACTTCCCTCTAGTAGACAAACGAGAAAACTGATTTTTCTTAATGGGCTTTAGGTCCAATAGACAAATATAACCCGTAGTTAATCTAGCCCGATTATATTTGCCCAAAGGTAGATCACAATCAATCATATCCACAATATGACCCTAAATTAATTTTCCTCACACTTGATAATGACCTAAGTTAATCTCGCGAATATCAAAATCGTCGTGTGTCAAGTCTAACCTACCAATCAAAGATGCTCATAGAACTCGATTATGCCAAACTAATGCAGTCCCTAGTTAATCTAGCCGACCACGTTAATTCAACATAACCCTTTTCTATGGCTACCTTCATCACTATGTCAATTGAATTACAGCTTACTCTACCATAGCACTCCCCGCTAACACGGCTTACTGCACTATAGTAAAGGGCTACACATAATCCAACCGTTGGCAGAAGGAAAGAAATAACTCAACAGATTGGGTTTTTCTTTATAGCTTGAAATGATTCTTAATTAAAAGAATGAGGGATTTTAATTAAAGTGTTTTATCTCATCAGAAGGTTTTGGATTGGTCTATGTGATTCCTACATCTATGTTCTCTAAAGGTATATGGAAGCGCATATTGTCCTAAGAGGAACATACGACCTAACTACATAATTAATTACATTAATTAATTATCGGATTTCCAAAATAATTATAGAACCTCAACTTGCATAAATCATTCAAATAATATTGAGGTACTACTAATTAAGTTGAAGTATAATCAACATTATACGTGTGTTCTATTAATTGAAATCAATTTAACAATTTAAATTAATTAATTAATCTAACACCTATTTACTAAAATAGATGATTGTCGATCCAATTATCTAATTGGGATTAATTGAAAATAATTTTCCAAAAATTAAAATCAATTTGTTTTAAGTTTAATTTTAGAAATCTGAAATAAATTTTTTTTTTTTTTTTTTATTTTCAGTGAACCGGTTCGGCCGACCGGTCTGACCGGTTCGGACCGAAACGGTCCGGTTCTGCCCGGTCCAATTGACCCAAATCAGTGGGCCGGGTCAGTCGGACCGAGAACCGGTCTGACCGACCCGAATCCACGTGGATTCGGTCAACTAAACCGCACACAACCATCGAACCGGCCGGTTCGACCGGTTCGATCCGAACAATTAAAAAACGACATTTTTAAAACAATTTCAGATCCGATTTTCCAATTTTAAACAATTTTAAAGATGGAAAAATTCTAAACAATATTTCAAAAATATTTTAAACTTACGAAAACTCCCAATTACATAATACAACAATCACTACTTTAATAAATCGAACATGCATAAAATCATAGCATATTATACAACGCAATTAATTACGCAACGAGCTCTGATACCACTGTTGGGTTTCGGGCACGCATACGCAGCGGAAAACAAAAATTTTGTGCGAATTAAACGACTTTAAAACACACAAGTACATGCCCGATGAATTAAAACAATTAATTGCGTACCTTTGCGCTTCCAGCGAAATTAAAACAACAACATGCTTGATTACTTAATCGAAATTAAATCAATTAGCATGCTCGCGTTTAAATCAAATAATCATGCTCGCAATAATAAAACCAATTTCATGTAGACACATAAAGTCATACAAGTTTCTTATTAAAACGAACATGCATATATTAATTTAAACGTAACCGAATCGAATGACAATAGATTCGAAACATTACCTCTTGAAGCGTGAGGTAGGCGCACTTAGCAAGTCGAGATTGCTACGGAAACCAATCCGTACAATCGGGGCAGCAGCGGTGCAGCGGCAAGAGCGGCGAGACGGCCACGGCGGCGCGTGAATCTCACGCGCAGAGAAGATGGCTAGCTGCTCTTCCCACTCCTATTGATCCAATCTGTTTGCTGATCTGAAATTACAGCCTTGCTCCGACTTCCGTATCTCCATGCGTATTTACTGGATGAATAATTCCTTCTGGAAGATGGTAGATTTATGAGTCGTGAAGCTGCTGTCAAAATTTCACGTCCATCCGATCACCGGTTGATTTATGGCGAATTTTCTCGCTGGACAGCGCAGAAAATCCGAGAGCAGTTTTTCAGAATTGCCTTCTCGCATCTTCGATTCTTCAATCTTCCTCCGATTTCACCTCATATACTTCGATCTACTAAACACGTGGCACTAGACACGTAATAGTCAGAATAACGGAAGAAAAGAAAGAAGGAAAGGAATACCGAAAGAGATCGGCCAACGGATGGCCGATTCCGGCGATTTTGGCGCGGTGGCCGAGGGGAGATGGCCGAACGTGAGAGAGGGAGCGGCTAGGGTTTTGGACGTGTTGTGTGTTTGTGCAAGACCTATAAATCATGTATTTATAGTCCCTTGCATAAAACCCTAACGGGCTTAAGTTGGACCGGGCCCAACAGCTTAAGCTCGTTAGTTCCTTCACTTGCTCGTCTCTCTCAATTCAATGATCGGAAAATTGTAACAATTACATATTCGGATTCATTATAATGTCCTCGTCATTACGAGTGCCATCTTTCATTTTCCAACTTTCCAAAAGTGGAAACCCTAGTTCAGTGCACTTTCTAAATTTGGAAATTTCCCGATTTAGAAAGTTCACTACAACTTTCGCCTATTCTTTTCCTTTTCTTATTCTCATTCATAATTCCAAATTACGAATGTTGGACCCAATCATATTGACTTCCAATCATGCAAAGATAAACCATTTTATCTCTGACCGTTTATTCAAAGATCTCATGTGCACGAGCAGTGTGACCCTCGATGGTTCAGGTGTAAGCTAGCCGTGGGCCCACAACCCTTTGTGGTCAAAACTCGTCCCCTTAGAGTTACGATTAAGATGAAACTCGTTTCACCTTAACCACCCAACGAATCAAGATTGGCGTCTAGCAACTACGCGTCATGATTCCCTAGATACAAATGAAGTGCCTGCAAGAACCTTCAGATATAGTTAACGTACAGTACGGTCCCTTCGATTCATATGTCCCGATCGAACTAGAGGCATTGGTTCATCGAGACCTCTTTATATGTTCGATGACGGTGCGATCGTTCTAAGTGTTGTAATCCTTACGTGCATGACCTAGAGAATCGAATTCTCTAATCATCACTTAGTCAGCTCTGGCCAGAGACTTAGAATGATTACAAACTTTCAGAACACACAGGACATCCAAGACTATTCTAGCGATCGAATCCCCGACTACAATGCACAGACCTCCCACTAGATTTCGGACTGCACGAACACTGGCCCTTGGGATGGTCCTCGGTGGAACTCAGGGACAGGTCACGATACAGCTGGTCCTCTAGTGAAGTCACGGTGATGTCTAGGTCATAAGGACTAATGGTGTACAACTATACCATAGATATCTCTACTCGATTATTGGGAACCACTTAGAGATTTCTAGGGTGAGGGAGTTCAGTGAACTCGTCAACTTACGAGCACCCACTTATGCATGCCGATATCACAATACCGTTTACTGATGAGATGCAGTACACATACACTAAGTGCTAGTCTTAATGGGAAAGGCCGATATCCTCATTAGTGGCGTAACCCTTCGACTAGGAACACGTTTAACAGTTATAATACTTAAGTAAATATCTCACGATCCTAACGATCAATTACTAGTACTTGTAATAACTGTAAGGACTATATCTATGCTTGTGACAAAGGGACAAAGATATAGAATGCCAATGTGTTTTATCATTAATACGAATAAAGGTTCGTTTATTACAATAATAAATACGAAAGACCACAGCCACAGGTTGGCTTGTTGGTCACCTACTCTAACAGTTACGACACCGACATCTTTTCCTCGTCCATTATAGGCCCTTTTACACGTGAGATATTGTCTGCCTTCGTGGAAAGACTGACGTCTAATCTCATGACCATGACGAACGGCCATGTTCATCGCCCACTCAACCAGTGCATCTTTATTCTCGAATGCAGAAGAAATTATGAAAAATTGACAGAAATCATGTTTCCGTATCTTCATCAACATTTATGTATACTACCTGTTTTCAAATAAATAAAGTAAGAAAAATATATATTATTTAAAAAAAGAAAAAAATTAAAAAAAATTAAAAAAATATTAAAAAGATAAAATTAAAAATAAAATTAAAATTAAAAATAAAAATAAAATTATAATTAAAATTAAAAATAAAAAAAATAACGTGCTCGCGTGATTTTACACGAGCACCGACTCAGGTCTCGCGTATATTCACACGACCACGGAGAATGTGCTCGCGTAAAATAACACGAACAAAAAGAAAAAAAAATTATTCATCTCCTCTTTTGATTTTGCGGGAACACATGACATGTGGCCAAGCCAAATCACACGACCACAAGAAAAAAAAATTCAAGTACTCATGTGATATTACGCGAGCACATGTGCTCGCGTAATATCAGACGAGTACTTGAAGATTCGAGAAAAAACGAAAAATATTACCTCCGAATCTATATTCGTTGGATTCATTTCAGAAATTGTTGAATATCTAATTTTTTTTGAATTGAATGTTCAAATTCAATTTTTAAAGGATTATAGATTTGGTAAAAAAAATGTAAAATAATAAAAATTTAAAGTAAAAAGTTTAAAAGTTATAATAATAGGCCAAAATAGAACCACCCATTTATATTCATACTATGAGGAAAAAGAAGCTCGTAATCTATTTACAAAAAACTCCACCTCAATAGGGACGCCTAATCGTTGCAATCAGAAATCGTCGTCAAGTAACTCTCCCCTCTCTATTTTCACCGAGTGTTGTGATTTTGTTCCCAATAGTACCCTTGAATTAATTTCCTTTCAGTTCTTTGCAGAGTTTCCGATCAAACCCAGCTCGATCCGATCTTCCCCAAAGGCTTTGAATCCCAGGTTGCCTTTCTTTTCTTTGATTATTGATGTAGTTATTCTTTAATTTCCTTTTTCTTTCGATTATAATTGATTTACCTAATTCGTAATTTTGACCTAATTCGTTTATATTTGTTTATGTTTTTTTTTCCTTACCTTTGCTACTATTTGTCTCTGAATTTTGGTGCATTTTCTTGTGGGCAAAGGGTTTCTGTATCGAAATTATTTGAAAGTGCGAAAAAAATGGCTGGTTCTTCCGATGATCACGCTACGAGCATCTGCAGCCACTGGTGAGTTATAAAATATTGGGGGTTTTGTTTTTGTTTTTGTTTTTAATTTAAGGAGTAATGCTTTTTTTCTGAAAACTTGTTATAATTAGTGAGGGTTTTGTCTAGTAAAGGGGCTTGTTAGTTTGCCTAGTTCGATTTTTGTGTTGTAGTTGGTTTCTCCCGAAAGTATTTCCGCGTAAATCTCTGTATCATCTATTTTATGCCTTTAATTATCGTGCTAGCAGTAACAAAACTTGATGTAGCTAGAAACCTCCTAAAAGCAAAATTAAGAGATTATTAAACTACTTATGAGTTTAATTTGTTGAATCAGTTTGTATTATCATATACTGATTTATGCAGATGATATATATCATATCTGATAATAGTGTCAATATGGACTTCTTTTTTGTTTGTTTGGTGTGTGTGTGTGTGTGTGTTTGGGGGGGGGGGGGGGGGGGGGGGGTGGGGTTAGGACAAAACAATCTGAAGTATCTGCTTTACTTGTATAATGAGAAATTGTATGTAGGCCGAATTCTTCATCGAAACCACCAAAATGCTGTAGCGGTTTAGAAAAAAATGAATTTAACCGGGGGAATTTTGTGGTGGGGGGAAAAAAAAAAAAAAAGGAAAAAAA